ACTATTACCTCTATGAATACTAGTTGTGTTTCACGTATGGATTTGTAACCACCATCTATTCAAGTGAGTAAGAAATACTGTTTACTTTCATTTGAATCAATTAAATCAGTGAGCTCCCATGAAATTACAGCTCTGTTCTTTTTGTAATTGCCTCTCCCTTCCCAGAGTCTAATATCCCAGGGATTTTACCCCTATTCTAAATAAATTTCTGTATATCCTCGCAGAATGTTCTTTGTACATTTAAAAAAAACTGTGGTAAGATAACATAAAACTTACCATTTTAACCATTTTTAAGTGTACAATTCAGTGGCATGAAGTACATTCACAGTTGTACAACCATTACCACTATCCATTTCCAGAACTTTTTCACCATCCCAAACAGAAACTCCGTACATATTAAACCCTAACTCCCCACTCTCTCCTCCCCCAGTCCCTGGCAATTCCCCATCCCTCCCTTCCCTCAGCCAGAGGTAACTCTACTCTGCTCTCTGTCTCTAGGAATTTGCCTATTCTAGATACCTCATAGAAGTAGAATCACATAATATTTATCTTTTCTCTCTGGCTTATTCTTCTTAGCATAATGCATTTATTCATGTTGTAGTATGTATCAGAATTTCATTTCTTTTTATGGCTGAATAATATTCCACTGTATGTAGATAAAACATTTTTTAATTCATTTATCTGTTGATGGGCACTCGACTTGTTTTGTTTTCACCTTCTGGCTAATTTGAACAATACGGTACAGACTTTGGTGTGCAAGTATCTGTTTGAGTTCTTGCTTTCTATTCTTGTAGGGTATATACTTACGTGTGGAATTGCTGGATCATGTGGGAATTCCATGTCTAATTTTGAGGAACTGCCAAACTACTTGCCACAGCAGATGCATCATTTTATATCCCCACCAACAACGCATGAAGGTTCTCTGTACCTCTCTGTTTTAATAGAAATGTGGAGCTTCTTAAAGGACCCAACTTTCCTCACAGACACACATTCTCCTGTGCATCACACACTGTACAGGTTTCTTCCTTTGATACATATAGCTGTTTATTTCAACATGTAGCTTTTATCTATCTATTTTTAGGTTGTTTGCCATTACGGCACTGACAGTGGGTACCCAATCTTTTCAGACAGTATCCAAATGGGTATTCATACTTGAGTTTCATAAATTTTTTACTTCTTCATATTTAGTGACCCCCCCCTCAATTTCATCTACTTCTAAGGCAATGCTTTTAATATTGTCAATGCTCAGTCTGAGTGCTTCACCTCTGAAATCTTAAAAATCAACAGTCCACTTTCTGCCCACAACCTCTGATCCTTTTAGCTCTTGAATTTTCTTATTCCTGCCACCTTTGCTCTTTGATCTCAAGATTTAGGGTTTCTTGATTCCTCCTTTTTCTCTCGGTATACATGTTCTTTCAGTTTTATTTCCTGCTCTACTTAGCTTAGACCATTATTCATCATTTCAACAAGTTTTTGCTAGTTTACTTTCAACCACGCTCCTCTCCATCATTTCAGACCTGCAAACTTGTAATCCTGGATCATTTCAATCCTTTGCCTTCTGTGCTACTATACAAGGTAGTTGAACGTGTTAAGTTATGCAACTGTACAAACTAAAACTCATCTGTAGCATCTACGCCCAGCTCGCTCTTTAGGACTGCTTGTCGTGGTCTTCTTGCCCTTATTCAGTTTTCTTTCCCATTCCCTTTCAAAGCCTCCTGTCCTCTGCACTTTAGAAGCCCACACTGACCCTCACTTTACAGAAAAAAATGAAACTCTTAATTGTGAACTGAAACTTATTTCTATTCCACAGCTATTCTTATCTCTTTCAGTCCTGTCTGTGAGCACAAGGTGACCGACCATCTTCCTGTTCAAGGCAAATGCTTTGGGAGATTCTAAATTCCATCTCTTCCTATTTCTGTAGGAATCCTGTTCCATCCATAACAATTCTCTCTATTAGCTCTTTCCAATTAGTCATAAGCAGGCTCAAGTATCTGCCATTTTTCAAAAACCAAAACCAGAAGTCCTAAACCTATCTTCCTTTCTTCTCAACTATCATTAACATCTTTCTTATTCAAGTTTCTTCAAGGACTGCTCTATTGTCCAAATTACTATGCTTCTTGACCTCTAATCACTCTTCAATTCACAGAAAACTGGCTTCTGTATCTAATGCTTTATTAAAACTACTTCTGTGGAGGTTACTAATGACCACCTAATTTCAAATAGAAAGGACACTTTTTCTCCTTATCTTCCTTAACCATTTAGCAATAGATGACCTTTTCTTTAAATTTTTTTAAATCTCCTCCTTTGGCTTCAGTGATATACATTTTGATTCTACTCCTACTTCACTGACTTCGTCGTGTAAAAGTAAATTTATCTTAATGTTGGTTGAGCACTAACAATAAACTAAATACTGTGCTAAGAACTGTACATACTTAAAACAACTGTTATGAGGTAGGTGCTAGAATTCTAATTTCACAAAAAGGAAGTGGTCTTGGAGAGGTTCATTTATATAAGCCACAAAAGGCAGGGCTGTCTTAAGTGCAAATCCCAGTAGTTTTAGCATACTACCAGCCTTTTTTTTTTTTTTTTTAAGTAGCAGTGAGAGGGGTACATGTGAAGCATATCTTTGAGCCAACAATTGTTAACTCTTTATCTAGAAGAGATTGTTTAACTCTGTTATATTCATGTAGATTAAAAAATCTTTGGAAAACAAGTGTTTTGGCTTTACAATTTTTAAAAATCTTTCAGTAATCTGCAATTCAGTAAAAAGAAGGAGCATTAAGAACTGACATCAAGGTTTGTTTTTTAAGAAAAAAAATGTCAGTTCATGTAAGATTATCATATGCTTCTCAGAATTCCCGGACAATGTCACTTTATCAACAAGCATTTGCTGTCCTATCTCACAAGGATGGCAGGGGAAGGTTCCATGAAAACTCTCCCTTACCAATCGTGTGAAGCTACTTCATACCGCACTGCAATAGCCAAGGGCACAAATTACACAATATTCATAAGTCCTAGTAGCACGTTTAATATATGCTCCTATTATTCTACCAAGAGACCCTAATTTAATGCAGCTACCTGAAATGTGCTTGTAAAGCAGCATCCCTCAAACTTGAATACATGTGGAATTTTTAGGGAACTTAAAACACACTGACAGCCTAGTCCTACCTCAAGAGACTGATGTAATTGGCCTGGGAGGAGATGGGGATTAGAATTTTTAGAGGCTCCTCAGGTGCTTCTAATGCACAGCTACAGTTGAGAATCCACTGGTGTAAAGTATGAAGGAAAGATTGTCATATTCACTCTATAGTTACAAAAAAAAAAAAAAGGGTGAATGGCCGGGATGTCTTCATTAATCATCAGGTTTTTGTTTATCCACATGATCACATATAGACATTGCTTCTAACTGTGGACAAATGATTCCCCAGTCAGTCATCAATCAAACATACTTAATATTTTATAACTGCATTAATTCGTAAGGCTACTATAACAATGTACCACAAACTGGGAGGCTTAAAACAGAAATTTACCTACAAGTCCGAAATCAAGGTGTCAGCTCGGTTATGCTCTCTTTGATGGCTATAGGTGAGAATCCTCCCAGGCCTCTTCTACATTTTACTGTTTGCTGCCAAAATTTGGCATTACTTGGCTTGTGGATGCCAGGCACACAGTTGTCTTCTCCCTGTGTCTTTATATAGCCTTCCTCTATGTGTGTGTCTCTGTTTCTAAATTTCTCCTTGTTATAGAACATCAGTCACATTAGGTTAGAGCCCATGCTAATGACCTAATTTTACCTGGCTGCCTCTCTAAAGGCCTTATTTCCAAATACAGTCACATTCTGAGATTCTAGGGGTTAGGACTTCAACATATCTTGTTTGAGGGACCCAATTCAACTCATAACAATAACCAACTACATATGCCAGTAACACTGTTCTAAAGCAGGCATTCTTAACTTGGGATGAAAAAAAAAAATTCATCTTTATTTTTCACTCTGGTGTAAATACAGCATTTCTTACAATTATGAACATAGCCAAAAACTACAGTAGTACTGTTTAGCAGTTCTTGAGAAATTGCACCCATAGGAACCACTGGTGTTTTCACATCACATTTCAGGGTTTGCAGTTATCCCAAAAATACCATTTACAATCATCACTAATTTGAAATTATAGTTAATAGACCTGCTGTTAGACATACTAATTTAATGTATTAATAATGATGTGTGAATATAGTAAAATATCATGACATGATATTTTCATAACTATTTCAGTAAAGCTGATTTTGATTTAATTGCATTTTTTGTACTTAACAACATTATTCTGAGAAGGGGCAAAATTAAAAGAAAATCTTTCAATAACCCACAGCCCAAGTTAGTGAATTCTTACACTTCAGACTTGAGGGTTTTTTAATCTTATTAAGTATCAGAGAACATACAGGACATTGTACATCACTTTTCAAACCTTTTATTTTATTTTTTTACCATGATCCATTGTGAAAATATATTTTACACATAACTCAATATACAATCTTAACTCTCTTTCACACACCACCAAACTGAAACCAAAATATCATAAAACAATATTTACCTTTACTATAGGAGATGCACTCATTTTTAAAAATTTTTTAAATTTTATTATGTTATGTTAATCACCATACATTACATCATTAGTTTTTGATGTAGTGTTCCATGACTCGTCGTTTGCATGTAACACCCAGTGACATTTTCTATTCTATTTCTTTTCATTAAAAAATGCCAGTGTGACCTACTGAATTAATTTCACAACTACTCTTGGAGCATAAATTAAATAAGTGTTAAAAATCCTTCAGTGGCATTCCTTTATAAAACTTCTCATATTATACTATAATTGGCAAAAGGCTGTTATTACTGTTATTCATGTACTATTTTAAATATATATATCATTCAGAGGTGGCATTTAGATGAGCAAATAGTTCAATAAGGCCAGACCAACATTTATTTATGCCCAGGTTAAAAAGAATTTTACCTGTAGTAAACTCGAAGTGTTTGGATTTCTTCTTCTAGTTTTTTGTACTGTTGAATTGCAGTCTCTCTGGCTTGTTGCATAGCCAACAACTTTGCCTGCAAGTAATTAATATTTTAAGAACTTTAATATTAGTTTTGGTATGTTAGATACAGTATTGCAGTATAAATAGGAGCCTTAAATTTGTGGTAGTTTTAAAATCTATCCGTATTTTCAGTAGTGTCTCATAATTTCTCATAAAATAATCAAATTATATGAATAACAGACATATTGAAGATAAGAACATATTAAATTTACCAAGTTTGCTCATTACTTAACTTCATCCTTATTCATCTGTATCATCAGATATATGCCCTCTGCAATGTTTAACTTTATACACAGAATTCAGAATGTGGAACATGGGTTCAGAGCAATATCTAGAGTAGAGATAAGCACAATCGGTGTTTCACATACAAACTTAATGTGGCTCCACTGCCTGACCACACTAGATTTTCTTTTAACTTTATTAATAGTAAAACCCAGAAAATTCTAAATATGTTGTTAAGCCATCTTTGATATTTAATGTGAAAAAAATACACAAGACTATAACCTGATTCTTACAGATATGACTTAACCTTTTCAATTCCTTTTCTGCAGGACAAAAATCTCTAAAGGGAGTATGGCAACAATCTTGAATGTTAGAGGTATTTTTTTCAAAGGATGTTATTGTTCTTCTCCGCCTGTAGTATTCAAATTTTATAAGGACTGTAATCAGTTTTTCGACAGAGCTCAAACTTGTAGTTTTAAAAGAACTGCCAACTTCCAACCATCTTTCCCATTGGGTTTCAGGCGTAGCCAAAAAGTTTTCAATGAAACTTTTAAAATATGGTACTGGTAAAGTCAGATTTCAGTTTTGTTTATTCAAAATTTGATTTGCATGAAAAGACTGTCTTTCACTTTAAGTGGTGTTTGATATGTAACACAGAGCAAATTGTTATCAAACACCTCACAAACTACACTAACGACAATAATTAAAAAGTGATTGAGTGTGGAGGCAGAAGTTCACTAATTTTGCTGAACTCAGATGATTTCACTGGGATTATTTTCTTGCATAAGAATAAAGTCATAAGACAAACTGTTAAATCCTGACCACAGGAAAATTAATTAGTGTAATGTAAGTGAGCACTGGACAATGCCACTTTTCTATTTGAATAATGGAGAATAATAAAAACAATGCAACAATTCAGGTCTTTGTATATAACTTTAGGAGCTAAGTTAAATAATTTGTTCTCTATCTGGGCTAGCAAACCTAACAAAGAGTTACTTGTTCATTAAATTTAAGATGTTTGAGTGCTTGCTTTAACATGTCACATTCTAGAATTATAGATAAAACATTCTCAAAAATTATTAAAAAGCATTTAAAAATAGGTGGCTGGTTCTTTATGTCAGAAATTGACAGCTTTGCCAATTTTCAGTAAACTATAAAATGTGATGGAAGACACATGGTCAAAAAGAATCACACAAAAAAGAACATATCACATTCAACTTACAAAATGTCGAACATCCTGTTGCATGTATTTAAGGAATATCAGATATTGGACAGGTAACAGAGAATTTGCTAAATAAATATATGAGAATGCTAAGTACCTTAGATGATTATTTTTGATTTTTTTTTTAACCTGGTACTTACTTCTGCAAAAATGAACAAACAAAAACAAAACAAACAAACAAACAAAAAACCCCTCCCAAACCAAAAACAAAATGAACAATGTTCTGGTAGGAAAACGCCATAATGAAGATTTCTGCCTAAGACATTTCTGCAATAAAAATGGGAACATGAGAATTTTACTTAAATCCCTGTGCTTCAGGTAATACTGACTTTCTCACTTCTCACATTTAATTGGCTATGAAGATCTGGTGTGGCTTCATAGCAATCCAAATGTCTAATCTTATGTCTAGGCCCTGCTGACTATGTTCAAAGCTATTATAAACTTCCTGGCTTTTCCTTTATCAGATATATGTTCATCTGGCCAGCATTTCTTTTTTGGGGAAATACCCTTACCCTCTGTCACAGTGATCCTGTGCAGTCCTGGTGGGTAGGATGAACTTCATTCCCTACCACTCAGGCAAATATAATCCAGGTTGTTCAAATACAGTACTCCATCCCACCAGCCCCAGAATAAAACTGAATCCTGATGACATCATTTGTACTCCTGGATCCCCTATGCCAGACAGTTTCAGATCCATTCCATCTCTTGGACTTCCTCAGTACATAAGTCTTTTTTTTAAGCTTAGGCTAGTTTGAGTTGGATCTATGTTATATGTAAGAAAACTAATTTAAATGTGCTGTTTACTTCTATTGCATTTCCTTTCACTATTAATATCATATAATTCCACCACATTACAAGTCAATAATAAATTTCATATAAAAAACATTAAGGAAATTAGTGAACAAGATATTTTTTCCTGTTCCTCGGGCTATCTCCCACATTTCTGGCAATTACATGAAAAAAAACTGCATGCATTCATTTATGTGTGTACTCATAAAAATACATGCATTAAAAAAACTAACAAAATTTAAAAAGTATAAGAAAATACAGTGCAAAGTAAATCTTTCTTCCACCTCCAACCCTCAGTACAAATCCCTTCTCCTGAGATTAGCAGTCATCTGTCCAGAAATAGTTTATACGTGTATATATAAGCATATATGCAATGACATACACCTATTTACAATATTGATGACATGCTTTACACAGTTATAAACTTTGTCTTAAATTTAAAAAATATTTTTTTATCTTGCTTCCTATTTAAAAAAAAATCCCCTACCCCAACCCATATATCGCACTTACTAGTTATACTCCCTCCTTCCCTTCCACCCCCAAAGTGAACACTTCCATGAATTTGGGCGTATCATTTTCAAGGACATTTTATACTTTTATTATATAGTTAAATACTTATAGATAATGTATATTTTTTTGCAGGTCTTAAACTTTATATAAATGATACTTCACATATTTCACAGGCAACTGCTTTTTTGGCATTGTACTTTTGACTTTTATTCATGTTGATATATGTTTATCTGATAATACTTATCTTCTCATGTTGTAAAGATGTGCAATATACTGTGATTGCAGATATATTTGGACTTATTTGTACATATTTTTCATGTTTCATATATCCTGTTTTCTTTGCTACTCTTTTTTGTCTCTCCTTCTTTTGGATTAAATTTTCTATAATACCCCTTTTACTGTAATGCTTAGAATCTATGTATTTACTTACCTTGAAATTTTTGATAAAGATACTTATATTTTTGAGCAAGGCCTTCAGTGAGTCAGGATTTCTATATACAATCTGAGTTTTAATAAATGTTTTACACAACTATAACACTTTTTCTACTTATAGGTATATTTTTAGATAAAATCTTTATTGAAGTAAAACATGCATCATGTATCACATAAGTATACATGGATGTATTTTTTAAAGTCAAGTTTATTGAGTTATAACTTACACAAAGTAAAAATTTACCCATCTATGATGTACAGTTGTATAAATTTTGACAAATTTATAGTCATGTAACAGCCATCACAATCAAGATACAGAATATTTCCATTCATCCACAATGTTCCTTGGTGCACCAATATAGTCAACGTCTTCCCTTTACACCCAATCCCTGGCAACCACTTGTGATTTTTATTCCTATAGTTTGCCTTTTCTAGAATGACACACAAATGGAATCATGTAGTAGGCAGCCTTTTGAATTTGGCTTCTTTTACTTAATGCTTTTGGGATTCATTCATACTATTACATTTATCAATGGTTCATCCCTTTATGTCACTGAGTAGTATTCCATCGTAGGGATGTACCAAAATCTATATATACATTCACCAATTGATGGACATTTGGGTTGTTTCCAGTTTGGGGCAATTATTAATAAAGCTCCTATAAACATCGGCATATAGGTAACTTTGTGGAACAATGCCTTCATCTCTTTTAGGTAAATACCAAGGAATGGAATGGGTCCTATGCTAAGTGCGTATAATGTTTTTATTTTATATAAAGTGATGTACTTTATAAAGCTATATACACTATAAAGAAACTGCCAAACTTGCTGCTTAAATTGATGTTAACTTGAAAGCATCTGTGCTTAACTATAATGCCATTTGTTGAATGCCTACTATGGGTTGGGCATTGTATCCAGGACTTGAAATCCTATAGTCTATCCCCACAATCAACCTATGAGAGAACTCCAATTATCCTTATTTTACAGGTGATAAAATTGAAGTTCATGAAAATTAAGCAACTTGCAAGACTATATAACATTCTCGGATATACATATGTAAATATATGTGAACACAACATATATATGTTTATATACACACACCTACACATATATGCTAGGTCAACCTATATTCTTAAGAACATATGACAGAGACAAAAAGTAATTACTTAGGAATTTGAAAAATAACCCACCAATGTGTGGGTTCACAAGCACTTGATTAATTTTCATATGTCTTAGCCACACTTGCAGGGGAAAGGACAAGCAGAGATGTACCAGATACTCTTGAGCATGCTGCCTTTTTATATATCACTCAAGCCTTTCCACATATAATTGCTCTTTTTGTTCTTTATTCTAATTCCTCCAAAACTTCACCTAAGTTTTCGGCATGAAGGAGTCTTGTAACTGGGCGTCATGTGTGTATTTAGTCTTAGTAATGGGAACAACTGGGAGTTAACACTGTATTTAGTCATTAGCTGGATCTTCTACTTCTCAAACTGTACTGCTGGTTCATCTCTCCCTAATACTAGTAAGAATATAAACATTCTGCTGCTTACTCCACCAAAATTTATCTATTAAAAACATTTGTCTTCTTTACTAAAACATGGTCTCCTAAATCCACTAATTTTACTATTTTAACAAAAAATATTTCTAAGCATATATAATAATAATTATATTTTTAAAACTCTCTAAACAAATTTAAAACTCTCTAACAAATTTTATGAACTCATCACCAAATTTCATTGAATCTAAGATACTACTGATTTTAAAACACTTTAATTTTATGCAGAAAAATCATGCCAATAATACTTCTAAGACACCATCTATTTTAACAAGCATACA